CATGGCCACGAGAACTTATTGTAAGTTTGCACTGCCCGGTACTGGTTTGCATTCCTTTGTGTAACTACAGACCTTGTTCCAAAGGACAATGTCATGTGACTGTTACACAATTGCATGTGACCTGCCAGTCATGCTGGTGTGACACAGGTTACAGATATCTTATCCCAACCAATTGTAAGAGACAGTTAACCGTAACACAGAGAGGATTTTCAAATTTTCTGTCAATACTGGGATTTGAACTCTGAACCTGCCACTTGGAGGTTGACAACCTGACCACTTCACTAGATCACCACACCCCTTTTATAAAACCATTTTCTGTATACTAATAAAAGAAATTTATTATAAAATTTTAATATAAAATTAATTATTTTAAGAATAAAGATGATGTAAATTATTTGTTATATAATTTTTTTAGCAAATAAAATTTTATATATAAAAAAAACATTTTATTAATAAAACTTTTTAGTATTATATTTAATTGTTACCAAAATTTAATAATATATAAATTTAAAACTTTTAATTATTTTAATAAAATTTTATAATTGTTCAGAGTGTAATGAAAGACATTCAATTTTTATACAAAATGATACAAAAATTACATTTTTGATGCATTGAAAATATTATTATTAATATATTAAATAATAAAAATATTAAAAAAGTAACTTTGAATTTTTTGTCTGTTTTTATTTGCATATTTATATAACACAACAAATCTCATATGATTTTGCTTCAGACTTATAATAGTTTCTGTTTTTTAGTTTATTTTGTTTTAAAAAAATTACTTTATATATTACTAAGTTTTCCTAGATCAGCTTATAAGTTTCCTAGGTCACACAAGATTTATATAGAAAATTTGTGTAATATAAACAAAATTTTATATGTAAATCATATGATATCATATAATTTGCTATATAATTACTATTAAAAATGATTTATGTCACCCCTACCCTTAATTAAACTACCCTAGAATCGCCAACAAAATATCTTACCCAGGATCGCCAACAAAATTTTGCAGTCATGTGATATCAACAAAAATTCTTTATGTTAGGGTAGGGTCTATGTTTTAATAGGATTTTTAGAAATTCTAATAGCAAAATCGCTCAAGGAAAACTTTTTGTTAATGCGCAGACGGTGATTTCTTATGCAAGTTTTTGAGAAATAAGCGATTTTTGACAAAACGAACGTTTGTTTTGAACTTTCCTGATCGTGTTACGTTACACCAAATTGTGATTAACAATTGGATAATTTGTCGTCGATCATCATGTGACTGCAAAATTTTATTGGCGATCCTGGGGTAGTTTAACAAAATTTGGCAGTCACATGGTGATCGACAAAAAATTATCCAATGTTTAATCATGATTTGTGTAACGTAACACGATCAGAAAAGTTCAAAACAAACGTTCGTTTTGTCAAAAATCGCTTATTTCTCAAATTTGCATAAGGAATCACTGCCTGTGTATTAACGAAAAATTTTCCTTAAGCAATTTTGCTATTAGAACTTTTAATATCCTATTCAAACATAGACACTACCCTAACCTAAATGAACTTAAAGAATTTCATCGATGTCACATGACTGCAAAATTTTGTTGCGTAGATCATCTGATTGGTGCGCATTGTCGATCTTTAGTAAACTGCGGACACTTTAACCTTATTGGTCAATTGATGTAGATTAGTGAAAATCCATCGATGATAAGTATTAAGTCTGGTTTGTTACTCGTTTTAACCTCAGCATAACGATAATTATTATCATTTGGAAGTGTTACAGCTTTAAACATCATGGAAAAATGGTTTCGTTTACCAACTATAGCCCAACCCTTTGTCTTTCTTAAGTTTTCATCTTTAATTAAAGTTTCAGAGATTCCGTCTTTCACCAAGGGTTTAATAATTTCGCCAGGGGTTTCATCATTTGCTAGGGTTTCATCATTTCGCCAGGGATACCGCTTTTCATCATCAAGTAAAATCATTTCACCTAATAATTACATTCCTACACTTAATAACAAGATAGCAGAAACATATCATGCCAATTTAACACTAGACTGTCTTAAAAAAGCTGGCAATCTCGATGGCGCGATTCAATTATTCGATAGCCTTAGTGAATTTGATATCAAAAAAGATGTTTATACTTATAATTGCATGATTCATGTATATGCGTTGAAAAATGACATGAAAAAAGCGATAGAATATTATGAAGAAATGATATCGAATGGAATAGAAGCAGATTCAGTAACTTATTTGACATTAATAGATGGATTCGGAAAACAAAAAGATACAAAAAAGGCACTGGAATTTTATAATAAAATGGTATCTTTTCATAAACAACCAACGACAAAGGTTTTATCATCTCTTATAAATACGTGTATGAGAGAAGATCAAATTGAACAAGCGGAACAAATATTTAAAGCAATGAAATCGCTTGAAATACAACCTGATGTTAGATTATATAATATTCTAATACGTAATTCAATAATTAAAATGGACATAAAAGCCGCAAATAAATTTTATAATGAAATTATAAAATTCGGAATAGAACCAGATGTTTACACATTTGCAATGATGATTGATGGATGCTTAAAAGTCGGAGATCAAGAAAGTGCAACAAAGATTTATTCATACATGATAAATCATGGAGTAGATATTAATTCAACGGTGGTTAATATTTTGATGCAATTACAATTTGAAAAAAATGATTCACAAATGGTTCAAAATATTTTTGACCATCATTTTTCAAGTCCTTCATATTATAATGGAATTTCACCAGATATTAAATCTTGGACAATTTTTTTGAAGTCAAAATTACGACTTACAAAAGATATTGAAGAAGCTTACGATATATATAAGGAATTCTTAATGCAAATTGATAATAAAGATTTAAATTTTCAACTTTTACCAGATTGTCATGTTTTCAATCTTTTCCTTACAATATTTGCTCATAATTATGGAAAAATGACACTTTCTCAAGAAGTTTATAGTGAAATGATTAGAAGAAATATCTTACCTGATGTTGTAACCCATACCATATTGATTGAAGGTTATGCTTTATTGGGTCAAGTTGAAAAAGCGAATAGGCAATTTCAAATTATGAAATCTAATAACATTAAACCTAATGTATTTACTTACACAAGTTTAATCAAAGCTTGGGCACAAGTCGGAAGAATTGACAAAATTAAACAAATTTATAAAGTAATGATTGAATCCGGTATAAAACCTCATAGAGCAACTTATCGTGTATTAGCTTCTATAACAAATTCAAAATTTGATACTTCACAAAAAAGTTCATCAAATTTACCTATATCAAGAACACCACAACATATTAGAGATACAACAAAACTATATGATAAACTTGAAAAAGTTCAAGATCCTGAAACTGCTTATGCTCTTTTTGAAAATTTTTTAAAGAATTTTGATAATACGAATTATCTTGATTATAATTCAAAACCAAATATTTATTCTTTTACCATATTTATGACAAGTTTTGTATTTCATCATAGAAATATGAAACTTGCCCTTAAAGTCTTTGAAGAAATGTTAAGAAGAAATATTTCAGCTAGTTGCTATTGTTATAATGTTTTGATTGAAGGATTTGCTAGAACAAATGAGCCATTTAAAGCTGAAAAAATGTTTTATGCTATGATAAATAATAATATAAAACCAGATGTTAGCTCTTTTAATAGTTTAATATCCGCTTGGATAACGGTTGGTAGAAGGGATAAAGTATTCAAGGCCTATCGCGAGATGAAAAAATATGGTATAATTCCCAATGAGATTACATTAAATAATATGAAAATTATAGGAATGTAATGAACATATTACTTATAAAGTTTGTATATATAATAGTAATAACGGACAATGACATTTAGATATAGAATTTAATCATAATAATATAATAATTTTATAAGTTTCTCCGTTATTACCTAATCTAAAGACACGAAATTTTCAACATATTTGTTAATAAAGAGTACAATGACATAATTTAAATATGTTTAAGTACAATGCAATATCAGTTTCATTACAGTAAACTCTTGACATACGTAATAAAAATTTGCATTACATATTATTTATGTTAGTACCTTTTAAATACTTTATGATGTAAAATATCAATTAAATATATTGTACTAATTTTAATTGATACATTTATTTAAAAATCATCTTATTCACTTTTTACATCCTTAGTTGGATAGTCTCTATCTCTATGAAATTCAATCAACAATTCTACTTGCTTTGCATGTGGAAATAAATCTACTCCAACTGCTCGAACTGGCTTAAATGGAATTCCCGGAAAATTATTAGTTGTGGGTCGGCATAAACTAAATCAAAAATGTTGTATGCCATTATTTTGAGTGACTATCTCGACAGTTGGAATTGATATTATATAATGAATTTAACTTACTCTATAAAATTTTGTGTGGCCAAATTGCAATCGCATGAAACGTACAAAAAATAATCAATCGCCTTACATTCACGAAGTGCTTTAATTACATTTTTATGAACACCAGCACTATTAAAATAAATTGACAATTTCATTTTTAACTTATTAATTTTTTAAAGAATCTTTCAATAAATGTCAATTGAACAATACCGAGGCGGATCCACAATTGCAATAGCTGTACCGGCATCTGCATTCTTATATGAGTGCAAAGTCTTCAAATTCTTTTCGACAGGACCAAGAATGTATTCAGAATTAATAATCTCTAAAACATGTATATATTATTAATAATTAATATAGATTAATATTTATTACACTAATGCTTACCATTTAATTTAGCATTGAATTTTGCATCTTCAACAGCTTCTTCACAGAGTTCAATGCCAATAACTTTATCAATTTTGTTTCCCAGACTTTTAGACAACGCAATTCCAATAGTTCCGGTTCCACAACACATGTCAATCAAAATCGCAGACTCTTCAACAGGAAATAAATCTTTTATAAATTCACCACATTTTTCATACAAAACCTGAGCAGCGAGCGTGTTTGTTTGAAAAAACGCTCTAGGAGATATACGAAACCTTTAAAAGAATATGTTAATAATAAGAAATAATCATGATCACATTACTAGAATATAAAAGCACAAACCTACAATCCATCATCTTTTCAAAGATGAAATTCGTACCAAATATGCAATCAAATGGTTTGTCATCTGGTATTCCATTGTTAAAACCATCATATATTTGCAAAAGAAGCGATGTCAAATTAAACTGTGATTCACGTGCAAAGGTCACAAAATATTCCGCCAATGCAGCTTTTTCTTGATTGATTTTCTCTTCAGTTAACCCTTGTGGATGAATCTGAATAATAATCATTACTAATCATTAAAATAAAATAAAATTAATAGCAATCTTAAATATATATACATATATTTTTAATAGGAATGTAACATACCGTCATCACTAACTTGTGATCGTACAGAGATCATACGCCATGTACCTGATCGATTTTACAAACGCATATTATGAAGGTTATCAAAAGATTTTCTAATTTTTTTTTTTTGAATTTAAACCATATATACCTTTTCTACTCTTATTGTCATACACCTCGTATGGTGACATGACAATATAATCCTAAGTCAACATGAAACAAATAGAATTAAATAGCGTAGTTTTACCAGTGCTAAGAAAATTATGGCTTTTAACAAACCTTCATAGCCTTTACAATCTTTTTTGCGACTTCGCTTACATTAAGAGACTTGTCAGGCCCCTAATTTCATTACCAAAAGAATGTGTTAAATCCTTTTAAATATTATAGTTAGATTATAATAACAACACATTTAATTACTATGACAGTATTGATTCCATCTTTGAAAGCCCCCAATAAAAAGCCAACAGTAATTTCACCATTTAAATTTCTTCCAATGGTGAATTCGCATTTGTTTCTATATCCTTCAAGTATAGGAGAGGCAATTATGGGTTGTAAAGTGCAAGGAAGATTTAAATCGGACCTAATAAAAAATGAACATTAATAAGTGAAATAAATCAAAACGAAAGTCAATTAATAATTACTTTTGCATGACCCATTTTGGTTGATATAAGGGTCTTTCCTTGTACAAGTCTTTAATTTTATTCCGAAATTTAGAAAGAGATTTTTTTATCACGTCTTCCTTATTTTTTAGTTGCTCTTCATATGGCAACCTGAATGAAAAAAATAAAGATTGTAAGTTACATACAACGGATTCATCGTAATGTGAAGATATGATCTTACTTGTGTAACGGAGTTACTTGGTCAGCAAGCAATTCTTCTGGAGAATGTTGAATTTCTCCAGTAGGATCAAAAAAAATTTTTTTCCTTTTTTCATGCCTTTGATCAAACAATGATTGTCGATGCTGAATGAAGACAATAAAATAAAGTGTATATAAAAATTTCATATTTTATTATTACATAATGATAATGATAAATTACTAACCTGCTCTGTAATATTATCGACATTCACAACCAAAGTCCTATTTTTGAAATTAACATTTTTTAATTTGTCAATTGCCTGTAGTTGTTGCTCTTGCGTCTGAATAACGAAATAAATAAATAAAAGAAAATATTACGGGCAATATAATAATAATAATTTTGTCAATGATTCATTACTTTGAAAAAAGCGTAGCAAAAATCCCACTCATGGGATTTTTTAACTCTGACATCACCGCAGCTATGCTTAGCTAACAATCCTTTAATCATCTTTGCTGACGCAAATTTGGGTACATTTTTAATCCGTAACCTCCATTGAGTGGAACCTTCTACTTGGGAAGATTCATTAGAATCAACAATATCTTCAGAAACTTTCTCTGGTTTTTTTGATGCTAATATATTAGTATCTGTTTCCAATTTGTCCAATTTGTCATCATCAGATGAAATAACCCGTTTTTTGTTAACATTGGTTTCGCTCATTATGGAGTTGTATAAAATAGGTAATGGAAACTTGGTAAATGATTTTGATCTCAATATAAAAGCTATGCGTGCATATAAAATTAGTCCAATAATTAATTAGTAAATAAAAGTTTAAAAGAATATTCTTACAATCTAAAGTTCGAACTACAAACATTCGCGAGTTAAAATTTTTACATCCGATGATTATTAACGATTTAAATAATGACCAAATGGTACACAAGATTATGTATTGAAGAAATTTTGGCCAATCGAATTTCAGGATCAGGTATAACGTAAAAATCAAGGATAGCTCTAAATTTTAATTCGGAAACCGCTTATGTTCCATGTGAATTTATTAACGGGCGCCATTAATAAATATAACACGGCTTCATGTCTTTAATTTTACACGCAACTTTTTTTTGGTCTTTAGCCAAAATTGCACCCGGCATGTTATTTTTAGCGTTAGTGCCTGTGCCCAACAAAAAGTCTAGATATGGGAATGGGCATGAAACTCAGGCATGGGAACATGGACTAATGATTTGAACCGAGAAAATTTTTCTTAATCGGTTAACCGAACCGAAATATTTTATGCCAACCGATTCAACCGGTTAAGATTTACTTCACACTTTACCTTCGGAAAGTCACGGAGTTTTACCCAAATTTTTGACCTTTTCGGAATTCTTGATCCTTCCACCCGATTACCGATTCTCAACCGGTTGTACAGGTCAACCGATTAAGAATTTACTCAACCGGTTACCCGAAATTTATTCGATTCGGGTCGGTTAACCGATTCTAGCCTAACCGGTTCAAATCACTAACATGGACACAAAAACTTGGCATAGGCATGGGTATAGATACAGAAATTTGATATTTGATATTTGATATTTGATTGTGCCTTTACTAGTGCCTGGCACTTTGTGCCCATGTCATTAATGATAACTGGTACTTTATGTCAAACCTTAATAGTGCCTCTATAGGCACAGGCATAAGCATAAGCACTAGTGCCCAGAATATAAGTCCACCTATACTCTTTTGTTAATAACTCTAACCCTAAATCCTAACTTAATTCATGTTCGCCTGGGGACCAGTGAAAATACAGTAAACTTCGGGGATATGTTTACTTGATAAATTTTGCCTTTTTGGGGAGTTTCCCAAAAGACAAATCGATTTTCTACTAAGTAAATTTCTTCTACTTCTAATAAATGTTGTAGAGAAGGGAATTCCGAGCATAATAGTGGTTGAAACGGCACAGTGGGTCATAATATATGGACGTTCGGTCTTCGTGACTATATGTTTACTTTTTTATTTACACAAAGAAGTAAACATATAGTCGTAAAAACAAAAATACCCGTATCTCTCGATCCACTGGGTCGATTTTAACGTTTCAACCACTATTATGCACGGAATTCTCTTCTCCACAATTTTTATTAGAAGTAGAAGAGATTTACTTAGTAGAAAATCCGATTTGTCTTTTGGGAAACTCCCAATAAGGCAAAAAACAATAGTAAATTTCCCCACGGTTTACTATGTTTTTTCACTGGTTCCCAGGCGGATCACGAATTAACTATAAAAAAAGCATACAAAAAAAGGCCTCAAAATTTTTTAAAAATCGATGATCCAATCACACGATTATCCGTGACATTATTTCTTTTATATAAACCAAAGTCTTGAGAAATTTCAAACCACTTAAATTCCATTCTCACAACAATTTATATTTGTTGTAGGTGGATGCAGAACCCTTCAGAAACAACTTAAGTGGATTCAAATCCAGAATTAACTTAATTTCTGAACTTGAAAAGTGGCTTACAAACTATCACTAGTCAAAGTGCCGAAAAGCAACATATAATCATATTATTTCAGTTTAATTGGTTAATTGCTGAAGGTGCTGAATATATGCTGTTTTATGCCGGCATTATGTTTGCTAAATAAGCATTCAGCCAGCTGAATAGAAATTCAGCAAGCAGAACGATAGTAGCATATATTTACCACCTTCGGCAATCAATTAACTAAACTGAAAATAATAAGACTATATGTTGATTTTTGGCAATTTGACTAGTGTATGCCATTAAGACTGATTGAATATAAAGATCTTAAAGTTTGTTAAAATTATTGAGAAGTTGCAAAACTGTCATCTTATATAGCCGATATAAAATGCAACTGTAAATAGGTCATCTATTAGGAAAACCACTATTTGAGAGCAAGTGATTTTTCTAGGAGGCGACCCAAATGTACGTTCCAGTTAAATATTTGTCATCCACGTAAAATAGAGTAAAATTTTCCAAGATACTGTAGAAAGCAAAACTTTAGGTAATAATATAATGATTTAAACTATCATATATTTCGCCTATTCATCCTTAAAATTTCATTTTCATCTGCTTAAGCAAAACTACAGTACTTATTAATTACGCGTAGTTTTGTAGTTGCTAAGTATAATGTCTTGTACATGTTATTTTTTAAATCACGACTTGTTTCGATATCTAAATATTAAACCGAACTCCCATAAAAAATTGATTTAGACGTTATTTATATGGTTCTGGTTTAACTTTCCGAAATTCATTTTTCTGAAATACCATTTCACCGAAGTCGTAATACTGAAAATCTATTTTACTAGCAGGACAGAAATAGGTCAATTAACCAATAAGTTTATTTCAATGACGGGTTTTCTAAAAATTGCACTAACGAAAAACTCTCTCTCATAGATCCTAATTTACTAAGAAAGTAAAAAATCGGATATATACAATAAGGAAACCAGTAAAGAAAACTAAATAACTATATGGCAAAGCTCATATTGAGCCTAATAGTATCATCTGGCAGCTAGACATAGAAACACCAACAACAAATACAACAAAGATTAAAAGAAAAAGAGACAAAGAGACTACTTCTACAACTAAAAACAACACACAATGGCCTCAGGGTCCTACATTCAAGTTTTCCTTTCAGACTCAGTTACAATTACTAATGAACAATAAGACAACAAGTAAGTTGTCAAAAGATGAGGTTAACAATAGACCAGACAAGATCTATACTGACCAAGCAACAAAAAGAAGACGTACACTTCTTCCTAAAGCAAAAAATAATACAAAAAGTAGACAACTGAGCATACCCTTGTTAGAAAATACAATGATATCATCTCATATCAATGATAACAACAACAAACCAGTTGAAATAGGTTTTAAAAATACAAATACAAATGTAACAGGCAACAATAATAAGCAAATAATTACTTCTCATGATAGCATATCTCATACTACCATAAATAGTAATAATAACATGCTGATAGAGACAGATATAGACTCAATTGCTGAAAAGGATAATGAGATAACCACCCAACATATAGAAAACACCCAAGCAACAACTAGCAAAAATGTTATATCTGACAATAAAGAAAACAACAACAAAATGGAAACAGAATCAGTGGACACAATAGCTAGTCACCAGACAGAATCTAGACACTGAACATATAGCCAAGTAACAAAACAAAATATCACAATAGAAGAAAGAATGCAAACTGATAATGAACAAGATTATACCCAATTATGGATAGATATTATTTAGCCAAATATTAGAAAGAATTGCATCGAACTCTTCGATATCAACAAATAGAACTACGACAAAATTATAGAATCACTTAAAGAAAAACAAGGAATTACTGATTTTGTAATATACAAATTACAAACAAAATATACTAACTATACAATTCATTCTGCGATTGAAATGAAATTCAAACATCTTGATACTGCTTTCTTTCTCATCTTTACAAGAACAAAGAAATTTATGCCTTCATATCAGATTGCCTATGAAGAATTGTTCAAGAAAGTGCTAGCAATATATAAAAGTCTGAATGCAATTACTATTACAGACAAAATAACAAAAAACATAATATACCAAAATTTCGACAGAAAATTATAATAGATTTTATAACTAACAAAAACTTCATTACAGTGATTTTTAAGAAAGTTTATCAAATAATCAAATATTATAGAGGATTTACGAAAGAACTAGCACTTATTAAAGCAGAAGATATTTAAAAAGCAATCAAAACAGCATTTGCAATACTACTAGAACCTCTTCCTTTAGATCCTAAACAAATATCAGAAAACATCTTACAAATCTTGTCATTCAAGCTACCAATCAGTCAGTATGCATATACAAAGGCTATTGTTACTTTATTACACAAAATATTTCACTTTGATTGACTGCCAAAAGAATATTTTATTAAACTAGAACTCCTACCAACAGAAGTATTAAAATTGAATCTAACAGTAAAAGGCCTATTTCTAATTACAAGCTGAAGTGCACTACAAAATCTAGCATTTTACAAGAAAAGACTACAGGACTGATATGACTGCACAACTATTCCATCAAACTACTTTAACCTTCTATCTCCAAGACAACCACTTCTGCTAGCTTACCAAGACCTAAGCTGCAAATATAAACTTAATTTTCCTATTGATATGCAAAACTCAGATACAGACTTACCAGACTTAGTACAATGGTTAAGGGAAGATTACTTCTTTAAAAATATCCCAAATAACTATTTCAAAGTTAAACCAGCACTTCTAAAAAATTTGGAAAAGATACAAATGCTAGACACCTTCACTTTTCCAATTCAAAAAGATGCAATTGCAAAATGCTTTGTAAAACAGATCTCTTCTGTTTACAAATTTTCATTTCCACTTCTACCAAATATCATGACAGCAAACCTTACTGATAAACCCTAGCTACCCAAAGACCCACAACAAATCAATGACTACAACATTACTACTCCTATAATCTCAAGAAAATAACTAGTAAATATAGCAAGAATGCTTAGAAAAAAATACTACTTTTATTGAATTTCAGAAACCTGAATACAAATAGAGGAATCTACTGATAAAGCTAATAAAGAAAATGCAGCACCCAATACTAAACAACAACCTGACAAGCCAATCATTCCTAATACTTCATCAGCTATTATGGAATATCTAAAAACAAAAAATATAGATACAACATGTATAACAATCCCTATAACTGAACAAGCA